GCACAGCTAACAACGGTAATACTCAACCCACTGGCTGTGAGATGTGGCTGCCGGTCCTGCTTAACCACACTTGAAAAATTCTACTGGTGTCTGCCTGCCTCATTAGGCACTTAAATATCTTTGGGATTTGAGTCCTGAGCCTTTTGTGCCTCACGGTCCCCCGCTGCTAATGGATATCATCAACTATCCTGAAAAGGGCACAGGAAAATATATATATTTATTAAAGATTGTGAGGCTCAAACAGGGGGTTAATGGGAACTGCTTAGGCAAATAGTGTAGCCAGCTAATAGGTGAAAAAGAATAATAATTTATGGGCTGAGAAGAGGAAAAGAACACAAGTCCTGGTCTGCCAGGTAATTCTGTTTCCCCGGCTGCCATACAAAGCCGGCAGGTCTGACAAGGAGCAGTCTGTAAACTTGAAACAAAGCATGTTTCTGCAGCTGGACGGAGTCAAGCACAGCTCTATGTTAGCAAAGAAAAAAAGAGATTTCACAACTTTATAGCTTTGGGCTCGTTTCCCTTCAGGGATTGAAAATAGGCCAGTCTTACCACCTCCTGCCACTGCCCCAGGTCTTGTCTGTCCCAGCCATTCATCAAACACAGCACAGCTCCAGAACATGAGACCAAGCAGGGTCACCACTCAGGTCCTTTTGCTCCTTGAAAAGGGATTAAGACAACATTAGAACAGTTAAAATGTCCTTTTTTGATAAAAATCCAACTCTGAGCTTAAAATGACATTTCTTTTTTCTTCTCCAACCAAATTATTTAAATCTCAGACATTAAATTACAGGATCATAAACCTTGATAAGGACAAAAACAACGCGATGCACAAAACCCAGGAGCTTCTCCCTTGTTTCTGGCTCTGACACATGTGAGACCAGCATCAGGGTTCAGCCGGACAGCAAAAGGCCCTTTCGGCTGTGAGGACAAATCATTGCTGTAGCTGTGGGTTGTTTTAATCGACACATACCTGTGATGCAACCCAGACCACTGTCATGCCAACCTCAAGAAAAAAAAAATCTCTACTTCCCGAGCTTAGGGGAGCAAAGAAACCAGGACCTATGTCCCCACCATGTGCATGGTCATGCATGCTTGGCTACACAGACAGCACACAGCCCAACTGCAACACACACACAGCCCAACGCAAACAGCCCAACACCAACACAGAGAGCCCAATGCAAACAGCCCAACGCACACAGCCCGACACCAGCGCACACCGACCAACGCAGACAGCGCGGGCCCTTGTGAGGCAAATGGCTGCCTCAGGCAGAGCGAGGATGAAAGCCAAGTCCCAGACCTGCCACGTAATGGGAAATGGATCAAGACATGTATAAAACAGCGTATTTGTTCTGCGCAGTGCTGCAAAACCATCGAGTGAGCAGGGAAGGAGCAAAGAAAATGGCTGTGATTAACTACAGCTCTACTGGTTTCAGCCCGGCTGCTTTAATAAGGCGCCTTTCCCCAGTTTTATGCAGGATTGTACACAGGAGGCCTCTTGACCAGCCAGAGTCTTAAGTTCTCAGTAACTCCTGCAGCTGCCAACTAGTACTTGTGTTTTAGCTTGCCCAGGAGAGACCCTTATTGGTATTTAAAACAATTTAAAACACCTCACTCTCTTCCAGACTTTTTTTTTTTTTTTTTTTTTTTTTCTAATTTGCTATATCTGCAGCAGGGAATAGAAGGTGAAACAGGCATTAATTTGGCATCAAGCACCAAAACCTGAGCTCAGCCTGAATAGATGGCCGGGCAGATGTGCCAGGGTCAAGTGTCCCCTGGGAGCATGTGCCACCTGCCCCTCAGCGCAGACGGGCGGCAGAGCCGGCGCAGCGGCCGGCCGCTCGCCCTCCCGCCTCCCCTGGCCCCTGCCAGCCCTGCAGCTGGGCGCTGGCGTGGAGCGGGTCCTCTCCCAGGGCCGCCCTGCACGTCCCCGACGCCTCTCCCACAGCGCGGGGCCGTCAGGGCAGGACTGCGAGGCAAGTGCCAGCCTCTCGCCAGGTGCTCGCTCCCGCTCCCAGAGTGGTGTAAATCAGGGGTTATCCTGCTGCAGGCAGTGGAATAACTCCTGATTTACAACATCCTACACGAGAGGAGAACTTGACCTTACACTTCAACAGCAGTGCAGCTTCCTTTGTTGAAAGCTTCTTAAGAAAGACATGTAATCAATCCTGGAGAGCCACCGAGCAGCAGAGCTCAGGTTCTGCGTAAGTCAGGGCTAGGCTTCCCAGGGAAATTGCCTGATCCAGGCTCCCATGACATCTGTCCCTAGGCACTCCCTGCATGCTTTCTGATAGGTGTTTTTCTGTTTTGCCTTAGTCAAAAATGGGGTGCTTTAGATTAATACAGTCCACAAAGAGAATTTTTTTGTAGTAAGTCCAACTTACCTATGCTACTAACCTTTCATACAGACAGGCTTTTAGTTAGCTCAGGTCTTTGGAAATTCTGGACTTTATAGGCACTTGATGTTATTTTAGAATCCAAGAGGAAAAAGCTTACTGCCTTGCCTCTGCTTTCATGGCCATAATTATGAGGGCAGTCTGGTGATGTAACTTGTTTGGGAAACAAATGATAGCTTTCAACAGCGAGTGCTGTCAGACACTTCATTCCTTGTAACTATTTTAGAAAACCAAATTCATTTTGCACTTCCACAGCACCAGATACTGCTCTTATTTATGCTTGTGTAAATCCCGTGCTATGAGACCTATTCCGTTTTTACACTGTGTGCAAGGCAGCAGAATTTGGCTCATGGTGTAATTTTACGTACACCTTGTGGTGTGATCTGCTAGTCCAGTGAATACAATGGGAGAACCATGCAGACATACTTAGTCTTCCTCACTAGCTCTAACTAGTCACCTTAGTGGTAGGGACTGTGAAAGAGAAGGCAGGATCAGACGCTGGGCATTTTCACACCTTAACAGAGAAGAAAAAGGGAAGGCAAAGTACAAAGGTATTTTCTGTAGAACAAAACAGACGATTTTTTGTGATAGAGGCATTATCTGTTATAGCCTGACACCAACCAGAACTCAGAACTGCAGCGCTAGTGCTCTGGTTGCTGAAATGTTTCCCCGCAGTCATCACGCCTTCACCCTGCACATCCCTGCACTTTGTGCTCCAGTCCGAGCTACAACCCAGGCAGAGCACTGGCCATTGCAGTTACGTGCTACCCTCCCAAAAGGTATGTTTAGGAATCAGAAGTTACAAATACAACCAGAGACAGCAAGATGATAATAATAATACTTAGTCCTGTTCTTCTAAGCTTCATATATTCCTGACTCCTCACAGCACCTCTGTGGCAAGGAAGGATCATCATTCCCTCTTGAGACGTGAGGAACTACAGTATGGAGGGGTGAAAAGCTCTACCAGCTCAAAAGCTAGACAAAAAACAGAGCGAAAACAAATGGGTACACAGCACAGGTACAAGATAAACTGCTTCGCGTGAATTTTGTGGGAAACAGCTTTTGAAGACTTCCCCCCGCAGCGTTTGTAACCCAAATCCTGCAGAACTGAAAAGCTGAAAGGTGCATTGACACAAACAAAATGAAGAATGAAAAGAGGGCATTTTTGTTATTTTTATTAATATCCTAAAGACGAGTGTGTGGGCAGTAGCCTTCTCTGCCATCTGTGACTGCTGTGCTGCTGGCCCGGAGGGGGTGAGGTGCTGCTGGCTCCCAGACCTGTGGTCAGACCCGCTGCTCCATAAAGCAGCGAGGCCCGGCCGCAGCCAGCACTGCTCCCTGGCAGGACACAGCTCACGACAGAAAAGCTGCTGAAATGGTGCCAGTTTTCACAGCCAAACAAACTCACCTTTGTCCTCGCCACAGACATACTCACAGGCATTTCTCCCCCTCTCTACTGTCTGGAGGCGAGTCGGCATTTCTGTCTCATTCAGACACTTGCTGAGTTTTACAGCCCGTTTTGGGCAATTGTTTGGTGGGGCTGATTTCCTTTGCTGGAAAAACTGGCTTCTTTCCTCCTCACCATGCTTTCCCACAAGTACGTGCCGTTCTCAAGGTGAAGCCAGTTAGGAGTCATTTCCCTTGGAGCCTCTTGCACCGCGAGGACCTGCCTTTGCCATCACGAAGCCTCACAGATCTCTGGCAAGGCCTGGGGTGGTTGTGCTTGGGAGAGGTCTCCTGCCCACCTGAGCACTGGTGGCAGAGCTTGTAGTTGACTGCTTTAAACTCTGACTGCCCCTCTCATTTTTGACTTCAGGAGCTGTTTTCTGCCATCCAGCTCTGGAGAAGCTTCTAGAAGGACACACTCCAGGGTGCCAAACTCCTCCCTGCAGCATGGACCAATTTGAGGGAGATTGCCCCCCAGGAGATTTCCTCAGGCTTGCCATGCCCACAGCATGCCTGGGACAAAGGGCAGCACCAACACGTCTTCTCCACCAGCCCTAGGAAGCTGGGGCGGTGTCTGGCTCTGTTTAATTTTAGCTACAGATTCTATTTGTGCATTTATTTAAGATTGCTAAAATTTTCCTGTTCCTTCCTACCCTTCCTCCTGGCCTCACCTCCCCCAGGGCAGGTACCAGCTCTACCGTCAGACAATTCCTGTGTCAAAGGAGTGACATGCTGTTCCTGCCACCGCCCTCACAGGCATCACAGAATGAGCAAGGGGGGACTGTGCCGCAGCCTCCGAGCCCTCCTCACTGCCTCACACCGGGCATGGCTGTTTTCTGATGGGCCAGCTGGTACGGGCATTTAGAAACAAGAACTGTTACTTAAATAAACATTGTGCTATGTAAAGAAAAACTCAACAGAGATTAATTTCATGTTTACCTATAATTGCACTGGAAAAGGAGAGTGGGCCTAAGAAATCCCACCTTACAATAAAATTAAAGCCTGCTTCAATTCTTCATCTAGCCCATTTCTTTTACTAACAGCACACACACATTTGTACAGGTTATTAGATTGGCATTGTAGCATCCTGGACAAATCAAATTAATTCAAATATCTGCAGATACAAAACGCTGTGGCTGAGAAATGAGCACGTAAAGTATATGCAGTTTTCCCCTGGCAGTTTATTATGGTATGAAGAAAAAAAAAACATTCTGTGCTTGAAGCTGACGTTATATTACAAATGTATTGCGAAGTATGACGTGACTATTAAAATATGATTACACAAAGTATGAACATTTTAAGAAGTTTACAGTACGGTGAATCTTTTATAAACAGACTCTTAAATATACATAGGACAATAGTAGCTGACAGAAAAACATCAAAAATTAACTATTAATGTTTATAGACTTTTCCCCTGAAAAAAGTCTCACATTAAAACAGAAATTATGAAAAGCCTTAAAACCAGGAACAAATCACCTGTACACTACAAATATACATGGCAGAGGCGTGCAAACCAGAGCTGCCTTTCGGCGGCAGGGTACAGTTGCCAGGGAGGCTCGGCAGCGTCTGCCCCGCGGCGTCACCCAGCGCGGGGTGCACACGCGCTGGGCCGCAGCAGTAGCACGCAAGCACACTCTCGCTGTCGGACAACGTTGTCGGGGTCGAATCGACCTACCGGAGTGTATCAAGTCGAGAACGTGCCCGGGTTCTTGCAAACGGATCTCTGCGGGCAGATCCCTGGCGGCACTGGGAGCCCAGGTGGGACCCACACACCAGCACTGGGCTGCGAGACTGAGCTACGAGGGAATCAGCAGCTCCTTTGATGGATTTTGGTTTTTTAAATGCAACTTTTAAATCTTTCCTCTTGCTATGGGAGAACAGATGCCACATTTGATTTCTGCTTAGTCTGGTTGCAATGACACCCCTAGTTCATGTGTTAAGTTATGTCAAAAACATAAGTATTTTATGCTGTAATACACAGTATTACTGAAACTAACAATATTATTTGCATATTTATAACAAGGTATAATGAAATCCCTATAATAAAACCAAAAGGTATGCTATAGATTTATTTACAAACAGTCCAGCAAAGAAGTATAAATACTTCCACATTTAAGGTTTAGGAAAACATAATTTACAAAATATTCAAATATATACAGTCATCTGAAAAACTGCCAATATTAAACTTTGATGCAGGCAAAGAATTGGCTGAGTCTATTCATTCTGTACTAAAAGAGGCGGCGGCTTTCACGGGTTGTCTGTTATGTTCAAAAGCCATACATATGTTATATACAACGAGACTGCTTCTCTCCGAGCTAAACATGTCCGGAGCTTTGAGCATGCTGTCCCAAAATGTCGTCTATCATTGTCAGATTGTTCAACCACTCTTCGTCGTTGCTGCTGCTGTTCTTCATGAGGGAGTCGAGGAAGTCAGTGTCACTGCAGTTCGCGGGCATGATCGAATTGCTGTGCTGGGACACAAAGTCATACTGCGGCAGCTCGGCAGCAGCGCTCATCCTGTTGAAGGCGTCGGGCGGCTGGCCCGTGGAAGGGTAGCTGGGCGGGCCAAGGCCCGAGGCAGGATTGAGCTGGTTAAAACTGGACACTCCTTGCGGCATTGATTTCATAACATTCATAGCTGGCAACGGTCCTCTGGTTAAATTGTGTCTCAAGTTCTGATTACTCATTGAACTCAAGCCCTGGCCAGACTGCCCCATGCTCAGTTTTTGCATCTGTCTGACCTGGACGCCGGGAGCGATCTGGTTGGGCGGCACTACAGCCTGCTGCGAGAACTGCTGACCCGGTGCACTTGGTCTCACGTTCTGTTTGGAGAAGAGAGTGTTACTGGAGAACTGCTGCATGCTGGTATCTATTTGGCTTTGATTTGGCATTCTTGGCACAGCGGTCGGCGTCCACATCTGGGCAGATGAGTTGGGGTAGACGTTAGGGATCCTTGGCATACTCGGCTGCCTCAAGTGTTGCTGAGTTGCAGAGTGATTTGCTAAGGAAGCAGAACTGAAGCCTGCCATCGGCATTCCCGGCCGCACAGCAGAGTGGCTGTGTGCTGTTTGGCACCCCGAGTTCATGCCCAGTGAGTTCTGGCTTGGCCGCAGTGGGACACTGAAGTCAGAATTAGGTGGAAAAATCCCCTGCTGCTTGCCAGGGTTGTGTGGAATCATCACCATCGTCCCACTGCTCTGGCTGGCGGTGGCAGGGGCCATGCCAGAGCCCAAGGTGCTCTGGAGCATGGCTGGGTTAGATGGCAGCATGCGGTGGTTGGGCGGAGGAGCTGGCATCACTTGGCTGCAGTCGGCAGGAATGGGCTGCTGCACGGCTGCGTACAAAGGGACACGTTAGCTGGTGAGCACACGTTCACCCTGGAAACATGGCAGAGCCTGAAAAGCCTGCTGCTCCATCCTTCTCTTTCATTACATGGGCCTCTCCTCTGTGTTCTTTGTAACATAATTATTAATGGATTGATAAGGAAATGGGTGAATCTCATGATATGTGATAAAATGCGAAATGCTTTTATTTCAGGACAGAGGATCATTAAGCGTCCTGTATTTAATCAGAGCCCAGGCTCCTCGAAGCTTTTTATAGTGCACTGTTTCCCTCCTTACCTTGAAACTGATTGATCTGCTGAGCCGCAAACAAGCTCCTCTGCTCAGATGTTACTCCCAGCATATTTTGTCTCTGCTTTTCCTGGAAAACAAGGGGCATATTAATCAAGTTACAGTCTCTTGACAAGCAAAAATAGCAGCTGACACTTGAAGTGTAGCCACTTAACAACCTCTCCCTTACACACACACACCCCTCTGATGAGATTCAGCCCAGACAGTTCATTTCAGACCGGATCTTAATTGTTCCCATGCCCCTTCTTGCAAAGGTGTCCTGACAACAGCCCAGTATTAGGAAGCGCAGCCTTCAGCAAACGCTGTGCAGGCAGCCCAAGGGGAGCTGGATGAACATGGAGACCCTCGTGTTCACCAGCTTATGAGTAAAGTGCAGCACAGCCGGAGGCTGTAGGAATCCTGGTGTTTCCCCTGTGCCTCTTGTGCTGACTATTTGGATGTGTTCTATGAAGTGCCAGATGCGGGGACAAAAGGTGTCCAAAAGTCTATTAATGAACAGAATCTGTAGCAGCATTGCAGGGACATGCTGACAAACAGGAGACTGCTGGTGGCCATTACCCTGTCCGGAGGATGGCCTCGCTCATGTGTACCATCACCTTTTTGTGCTGGCTGCCACTTCTAACCAGAACACAGCAGTTAACCACGGGACACCAGGGATCCTTAGCAGGTACTGCCTGAGAAAGACATTGCTGGCTTCCTCCAAGTGACCCATTTTGCATCTCCCACTATTGAGCCCCAGAACCCACCACTGCACTCGCACCGCTGCTGGGGACGGCGGCTGTGACCTGGGGAGCTCTCCATCAACAGTGGAAGCTGAGGCCTCACGCCTGCTGTGTTAGAGCAGCACAGGTAAGCTTGAAGCCGACTGGTGACAAGGAGACAGGGTTGGTTTTGAAAGGGAGTTTGATCAGTGAGCAGGACAGTACTTTGTTGAGGGTTTTACTGAGCTACTCTTCTCATGTCATTTCCCATCCAAAGAAATGAGCCTTCTTGACCCAAATCCAGCAGGATGCTCAGAAAGCCAGAGGCACATGTTCAGTGCTGCCTCACCCAACTCATCTGTGGGAGTCTCCCATCCCTGCTCCTTCACACAGCATGTTACAAACCTCATACAGGGACTTCTGTTGCTAGAGTCCAGCCAAGTCTAGGAGAAAATGGAGCCTAACATCCGCTCTGGTAAATCTCCAGGGAACCAGGAAGGCAAGCAGGGGGAACATCTCTCCTGGGGCTGACTCACTCTCCAAGCCTCCCTTCTCTGCATCTTCCCTCCCAACTCTGTGGCTGACCAAGGATGACGGCAATGATATGGAGGTGACTGAATCCTTCCCTTGCATGCAAGTGGGCAGATCTGCACTCAGACTTGCTGAGCAGCACTTGGCCTTGGCCTCTCTTGGGCATGACATCCTGGACTCACCACAGCCCTAGTCTGACTCAACCCAGCAATTCCAGGTTCAATTCTTAGTGTTTGCTGACTGGCGATTTCGCCATTCCAGTTATTCCTGTCCTTCCCAGTGAGGGGGACAGCACAGCAACCCACAGAGGCACTCGGCATCGTACCTGCATCAGCTGTCTTTTCATTATTTGCTGCTTCAGTAAATGGTTCCTCATCGTGTACCCATTCACTGTGGCGGGTGCCGGCACAGAGCCTCCGCTTGGGATGGAGCCCGGCTCCTGAAGTCTGGCAACAATTCCAGGATTTTGATCCTGCCAAGAAAGATGAAAAAAGAAAATTAATCTCATCAGGGAGATAACAACAGAAGCCCTTACCGTCTCTGCTGATGCCCTCTCCCTGGTCTTTGGCTGTACCAAGGCCAAAACACCTTGTAAATTCACATGGACCTGCAGGTCATGGTGAGGACAATGAGGGGCAGGGGACTGTTCTGATTTCTGAGGAGCAGCACAGGAAGAGGTGAGAAAAGCAAAAGGTTAATCCAAAATTCTTTGTGACTAGCCCAAGGCTATGGGACTGATTCACTACCATTACTGGAGTCACATGGCTGCCTGGCTGGCAGAAGGGATGTGAGTAAAGCGTCACATTTCCCACCAGTTCCCCAACTGTTACACTGAAAGACATAAGGAAAGAAAAGTTGCATCAGGGTAGGATTTGGCAACTGAACATAAAGAAGAAGCCTGCAGTAAAAGTAAACAGCAAATTAAAGGCAAAAGAGGGGAAAAGGTGCCATTAGACCAGGGACCCAGAAAGATGAGGAAGACATGGGCCTGGGATTGAAGTGGTTTTTGTGGGTTCCATGATCAGACTAACAAGGAGAGCAAACTGTGAAAGGAGAAGAGAGCATGCAAAAATGCAGGGCCAGGTCGTGACTGGGCACAAATCAGTAATGCACTGGGCCTGATTCCTGGCTGGTGCGAACTTGCCTCGCTGTAAGTCCCCAGTGAAAGATCTGAATTGATTTTCACCAGCTGAGGACTTGCCTCTAAAGAAAGAACATTGTGGAGAGAAGAGAAAAAAAATTCACAAGAACACTATGAAGACACAACACAAAAGGGAAAAAGAATTTTAAAAGTACTGAAGTCTAAACATCTTATGAGTTGGCAGGTAGTCAGAGAAATACAAGAAAAAAATGAGGGAAGAAGTCAAGGCCTCACTGAGGACAAGGGAAGTGATTCTGGAAGTGCTGTACCCCGGCACAGTAGTACCAGTGTATTCCCCTTTCTCCATTTTCACATCCAGCTTCTGTATTATTTATGATGTTTTGTTATTATTGGCAGGGACAAGTATGTATATTATATTCAGCATCCTTAGCTGGGCCATGCTTCCTTTGTTTTCAGAATGGAAGCCCACATCCTTTGTTTGAGAATCAATGTTATCAGGAGATAAGCAAGAAGAAAATGGTTGCTGCCTTTTGACATCTGACAATTAGAAGCATGCTCAGATGGGGAAAACAGGATACGAGCCATGTTTGAGAGTGGCCAGAAGAAAGCCTTGGAAGGCATCTGTCACCAGGCAGGCTTCTCAGGCCTGGGGCACCTTTCCACAGTAGCTTCACCATGAAGAATCACCCAGCTCCTTCCAAGATATTCTTTGTAAGAGCGATTACCAAGGAGGTCACTGAAATTACTCATTTTTATGGTGCCTCCTTTTGTTGTAGCACTTCGGTCTATTATGCAAGAGCACAATTGATGAAATGTAAATGCCTGCTAGATAATTTACTAAAAGACACAAACCTGCAGCTCATCACTGCTCTCATTATCATTCCTATTCATGGGCAGTCTCATAAGACTAGACTTTATTATTGGTGCTTTGCTTACAATTCTGCTGGACATCTCTCCTCCTCCCCCTTCCCTCCTACCCATTTTACTCCCTCTCTCCCACAGAAAAATAGGGAGGGGAGTAAAAAAGTAAGTATGATTTACTACAGATGTAAATATGAAAGTTCATGTAAAGCTAGCACTCTGCTTTCATGTCAGACAGGATTCTGCAGCCATAGTTAAGCTTTGAATAATGCAGATTGCCTCTAGGGGAATATTTGAAAGTGGAGAGATTCAGTTTGTGTACTCTGCACATGAAAGACACTGAAATGTTCATACCACCAAAATCCCTGCCATCTATCCAATTTCCTCCAAACTTGTCTTGTTGCGTGCAGAGGGTCTGTGCTTACTGAAGCAAATGAGTTTAGAGCAAGGACAATCATTCTGATGTCTTGCTCAGGGCTATTGCATTAACAAGTCATAATATTAAAGTCTCTTTTCCTAATCATGTCCACCACATTCTAATTTCTCCTAAACATTATCAAGAAAATAATGTTGATTTTTCCATGTTATTAATGGTAAAGAAGTGTAAATCACATTACTAATTGCGGCTCTTGTGCTGTGGCAGTAGAACAGCTTAATTATATGGGATTTTCTGCAGGCACCCTATAGCAATAATGACAATCAGTGAAGTTCATTTGCAAATACACAGAATGGGTCGCTGAGTTTTTCAGAGCAAAGTTGTATAACACTTAATTAGCCAGTAAAGAAACAATCTATAGATATAAATTTTGCTTTGGGGGAAATTAGGACAAAATAGCATACATGAGAAGACAAGGAATGAGTTCAAAATCTTGCCTTCTACAGTTCACATTTAGGTTAAGCCAAAAAAGAAAGAGGAAAAAAAAAAAAAAAAAGAAAAAAGTTCTCTCTTTTCACCACTAGTGGGAACTACTGTATTCCCTTACAATAAAAAATAACTATTTAAACGTCATGACTAAGAATAGATCTGGTGTAGTCTAAAGGACACTGCTATCTGTACCAAAGGTTAATGAACTTTAAACATTTTTCCTTTTCATCACTCCCCAAGAAAAATCACTTTCCTTTCCATAGTAAAGCCAAGCCAAACAAGCCATAATCTTGTCTATAGTTTGGACTATGCCATTTTAAAATCCAGGAAGACAGCAAAGAGAGAAAGATTCTAGTGTCAAAGTTGGGAACGATGGAAGCGGGTGTTCACATGCAAAGGGTCGTGTGGCTGAGCCAGCTGTAAGCTACACTGGATGGTACAGAAGGCTACGGGGGATTCTGATTCTTCAACTTCTAAAAAACTGTGTTTGCCTGTAGGTATCGGGGTTTTTTTGCCATTTTTCCCTCCAAAAACTCATATTAAAACATCAAATGGGCAGAATTCCTAATCAAACGGCATGCCACACAGACCTGGAATTGGAGAGCATGTGTTGGAGAGCATGTGTTTCTGTTGCTAGGCAAACTGCCGCACAGCAGGGCCGGAGCTCCTGCCACACTCCCCACGCTCTCCAATGTGGCAGTTTCTGTTCACAAAGGCACCGGGGCTAACTTAACGGTTTTGACTTAGTATCTCATGCGCTAGTTTTGAGAGCAAGGAGAAAAGAATCAGGTTCCAGGTTTGCAGGAAGGTATACTGTTCGTGTCAGTATTCTGCTGCTGACTGCAACCGTAGGAGCCGTTGCACAGCCCAGTGAAACCAGTCCCTCCCAGCCGCCCAGCCGGTGCACAATGGCAGGCTGTTCAGGCTGGGCAAACGCATCTGCAGATTACTGCGTCCAATTGTAGTGAGCGTGGGTCTGGTCCAACAAAATAGTCAGGCAGCCACTTAATGGAAAGTGTGTGAACAGTCCCACTGAGACCTACCACGTATGTTTATGAATCTACATCCTTCTAAAAATCCACTGATGAGCTCAACCTGCCCAGCCCCATCATCTGATTACATATAAGATGCACAACTGCAGTAAATAAGCACAGAGATGAATTGTTCTGTGTGAACGTGGTTGATAAACTCCAGTCCTCAGCACTTAGTTATATATCCAGTAATCACTTTGTGGCTTCACTTAAGCGAGAATGAAGAAATTTATGGCCTCTAATTCCTCTGAATCCTCATTAACAAACAGTCCAAAAAGAATTTAAAAGCAAGACTTTCTGAGGATCTGAGCTAGAGCTTTAATTGCTCTTTGTCAAATTATGTAAAAATCCCTCTAATCTTTAATAAAGAGCATTCATTGTTTTTTAGGACTATGTGAAAACACTAAACTCATTTATCATTATTAAAGTTTCCCATCTGCTCTTACGGTGTAACTCCAAAGAATGTAACAAAGAAATGTACATGTTAAATTGTATTGACTTAAGCCCAGAGCTATTGGAGATGTACAATTTATTTCAGCGAGGGCATGAAGGGGACTGCAGGCTGCTAGACAGAGTCATTTGTCCAACACTGAAAAGACAGTTATCTGCACCAAAATGGCTCTTGGAAAGGCGCATTTGCTTTATAAGAAATAAGCTGCCAGGTGAGACCATTCAGCATTATGTTACAGACCCAGACAATAAAACTAAGCCATGAATTTCAATAGTTAACAGATGGACTAATTAAAGACTGAATTCTTTGTGGTTCTAACAGATAACCAGGTCACAGCAAGGTTACCGAGAGAGACACAGGCAGCTTTGCAAATTTCAGTAGATATTTGCAGAGTTGGGGAAGAACTGCACATCCTAACTGAAAGTGTTAGCAGCAGTGGAAGAACAGAAACTTGTCTAATTAAAAATGTGTACAGTACCTGCATTTAAAATGTTTATTCCATTTCCAACAACACTGCTGATTTGAGAAATATTCCCTCTGCTTTCAATGGGGTATCCAGCTGAATCCAGTAATTATAGAGCTTAAAACAGAAGGGTTGTTGGGATGATCCACAGCACCCCAGCATGAAAGGAAAAGACTAAAGGAAATGGTTCACTCAGGGTAGATTTTTGCTGTAAATACGACAAAGGGACAAACTGCTTTTTCTACCAAGTTGGGTTTTTTTTTTTGGTAACAAAAGATAATATAGCTTGAAGTATTTACTGAGACATCACACAGTAAACAAACAAACAAACAAACAAAAAAAAACAAACAAACAAAAAAACAACACAAAAAAACACCCTAAAAAACAGAGAGGAAAAACATGGCTACAGGACTTGACAGGAGCCTGTGCTACTGCCCCGCTCTGCGGCCCTGGCTGCTCGGACGGGGGACACTGGGTGGATCAGTATTCACAGCAGGGACAGCTATTCTCTAGGGGTGGGGTGAAGTTTCATTAACCGAGTTTTGTTCTGTATTTTAAGAACATCTGTTACATATGGAGAGTTCTGTACTCTGCTGAGGAAATGCAAATACTAGTTTCAAACTAATGCCTCTGCATTTCCCTGTGCTCCCGCCTGCCTGCCAGTGCATCGTCTCCAGTCGAGTAGGTGCGCTGCATCTC